CTTTCTCCTTTGAATTTTTACTCGCTAACTTTGCATGCTACATACAGAGTGGTAACTTGAACTTCTGCAATTTGTGAAAATTCTACGTTAATCATTCTACGTTTGCTGGATAGCATGATTTTGTCTTTAAAAACGAATGTAATCATACCAGGATAAGAATGCAACACGTGCTTCATTTTTGGTTTCTAAAAAAACTTATTAGTAGCAACCAACAAAACTTATAAACTTATAAAAAAATAAATAGAAATGTATAATTAACTTACTGTACTTTCTTCCATGTTATTTAAATTGAATTTGTCTTCAATTATCTCATATTTACATACTTTTATTTCTAGAGGATAAAATAAATTTGGGTGCAGTACTTATGGATAGCCTGTGAAGTTAAACCTTTAAGAATTTGGTGCATTTCACGTGGCTAAATGTTTTTCAAATCAAGAACAACTGAAAGAACAGTCTTTTCCTACTGATATTGAACTTTTCAGCAGTTAATATCGATATGTGATAAGAATTATACTGAGATAACAAAGAACCTTCCAACTGAATAACAATGTATAGTTACCACTAGAGCACTGTTCAGGTCAAAATAATTACATTTATGAAGTTGATTGCATAGGTGAACAGATCAAAATATTGAAAAATAAGTTAAATGAAATGAACTTTATTATGTATGCGGACGATATAACTATTTCAGTGTCTGTTAACTCCCAGCTAGACTGTACTAAGATGAACAGCTTTCTATCAGGAGTTAGCAAATGGTCTTCGTCTAATGGCCTTAAACTAAATCCTTCCAAATGTCAGACTGTTAATTTCAGTTTCCGATGTAAACGAAAGTTAAATGAAGCTGTTGGTTCCTATGACCCTTGCAAAATTGATGATACTGATATAGAAATCAAGTCTGAAGTTAATTATCTTGGATTAATTCTTTCTTCTGACCTATCCTGGTCCTCCCATGTCTTAGCGATTTCTAAAAGAATATTTTGTCTGACTTTTTACATTAAGAAGTTAAGGCACTCAGGCATAACCACTCCTCCTCTTACAGTTTGTCAACTCGTGCATTTTACCTATTCTTCTTTACTGTTCACCCTTATTCTTTCCTGGATTGCTTAAAAAAGACTATGTCATACTTCGTAGAACTCTGAAGACTGTCAATAGGACGAGTGGTATCCCATTGGGCCATATCGTTGACATTGTCATTGATAGGCACTTGATGTCATGCAACAAATTTGCTAAAGGAATTTTGTCAGACTGTGAGCACCCACTTTACCCGCAGCTCCAACCTTGTGTCTCCTCAGGTAAAACAAGAAGTCTTTTCAGAAGACTTTATGCACGTACGTCTAAGTATAAAAATTCCACTATACCATATTTAGCACGTACTTTATGTGATGAAAATAGTGTTAGGCATGAACTAACTAACCTTCTTTGCACTAGTAAATAAACCATTTCCTCCACCCTTATAACATCAACCTTTATTGTTATTGTACTTCTTATATTTAGAATCCTCTCAATTTTTGTTTTTATTTGTTTATTTTTTCTCATAAGTGTGAACATCATTTAAGCTGTGTTATAACTGTTAATTTTGTATTTCCCCTCACCATACTATATCAACAGAACATTAGATTCAATAATCTATAACATGATAAGATTTTCAAACTGAATCGCCAATAGTGTTTGAAACAAACTCACTGTTATATTATTATTATTATATTTAATATTCTCAATTCGTACTTCGAATATTTTTGACTTTATATCGTAAATGTGGACAAATTCCTCTGGTTAATTTTGTTTTAATTTTTAATTTTATTTATATTTTGAGTAAATCAGATGCAATATTGTGACAAATGCTGAGAATTCCATTCTGTATTATAAGTACTGTTTTTGGAATAAAGTAGATTATTATTATTAAATAAATGAGTAAATATGCAAAATTAGTAACGTATAATTATCAAAAGTCGACAGGAATCCTTCTCATGTTAACTCCAACTGTATATACAAATTTACATGTATTTGTGGGAGCAGTTACATTGACAGAACAGAAAGGTGGGCGTACCTCCGATTTTCTGAAGATATATCAAAAAGCTGATGTCTAAAGCGAACAAATGGTTTAAACAATTTCATCGCCAGGCATCTCTTTGACACAGGTCATGAGGTGCACGTTGCAAAATCGCTCAAAATTATCAGTAGGCAAAAGAGCTCAGTTCCCCTTAAGTTTGCCAAAGCATTCTCCATCAAGCGCCTGAAACCCGGTTAATGCGTTCAGAAAGAAGTCGTTATCAGCCTTTCCTTGCCCTGCCTGGTAATTGAATATTTTCATCCTCTCTTTCATTTGATTACGTAACGCCGCAGGATTCCATTATGTATGATTATTATTGTTTGTGACAAAGCGATTATTACTATTAGCACTGTATACATGTATCGATTTTTTGTTTAAAAATGAACTCTGTGCAAGTATGTTAAAATTGTTTTTTTACGTAAACTTAAAAATGTCTTTGGGCTGTAAGCAGCTGGCTAATGAAAAGCCAACGAAATAAATGATGGTACCATTTTATTCTGTAAAAACTGTTGTTCTTGCTTTATGCATGTTCAAATTATCAAAAGAAACAAACATAGGAAGCTCTCTTTCAATAATTCCGATTTAGTAACTTTTAATTCATTTTAACAATCAAGTTTATTTGTACAAAGAAAGAATGAATAAATTTGCAGGATAATACGAGCTCGTCGCATTTCGTAGATTCTCTTCAACTGCGTATATCCTCAACAAACTAAAATTATGTTACAAAATTTTCTGAACATACTTTTTTCACAGTGAAATCGAGTTATAAACAGGAAGTATAAGCAACATAATTCTAAAAATGAAGTAGGCAGACGAATTATTCAGTGTTAAAAGAGTAACTATTTATAATATAAATAGATAAGGGGGTAGAGTTCAGATTTCACTCGGAAATTATAAATAGTTACTCTTTAAACACTGAATAATTCGTCCGCCTACACCAATTTTGGAATTATGTTGCTTATATTTTCTGTTTATAACTTGAAATCACTGTGAAAAAAGTGCGTTCAGAAAATTTTGTAACTTATAATTTCATTTTATATAGGGTGTAAGCAGTTGAAGAGAACTCATGAGGTTTAAAGGAGCTCGTATTATCCTGAAAATATATTCATTCTTTCTTTGTTCAAACTAATAAAGGGAGCCGGTTGTATGAAACTAGGTTTGTATTAAGAGTAACGATGGATAAGGTGGAAAATAAGTCAATAAGAAATCCCTTGAAAGTTTTTAATCATGAAGATATTAGGACTGTAACTTAAGGTTGAACAAAATTTTTTCAAATACATGGAGAAATGAGTTTCTATGCTTTATTTGCAGGGATCTGCTTTTGTCTTCCATAATGGATTAAGTTTGAAGGTTTACTGAGCAATATTTAGCAGAAACGGATATCCAACTAAATTCGTAAATAAACACATGAAAACAGGAAGTACAAAGTCGAAGGTGCCGACTGTTCCCAAAAATCTGTCTTCCTAAGATTACAATTCATGGGTGATGTCAATAGAGAGGCACAGTGGTTAGGACTCTCGCCGACCATGCACATGGTCCGGGATTCGATCCCCTGACGACGCACACCCGATATCTATGGTCGGCCTGCAAAATTTGGGCTACCGATATCCATGCTGAAAATTCCATACTTGTACTGAAAATACGGTGTGGCATCAAGCTGTAATCAAAATAAATAAATAAAAATTAATACAACATCTGAGAAGAGCATTCAAAATGGACCTTCAACGCAGCTAAGTTATGCTATATATTCACTAGCCGACCAATACTTAGTTCAGGAAACAAAGACAAACTGCACTTTTTCGCCGCTCCCGGGTGTACTTACCAGTTTAACTAATCGTACTGATCTGGTTACATCGGGCGTGCGGTCAGGCAAGTTCATCGTAGAATTTCTGAACACCTTCCATTTTGGTTAGGTGAAGGTTCAAATAAAACTAGCTCATCTCATCGATACAGGACATCAGGTCAACACTAACAAAGCTTTTAAAGTTATTTATCGTATATCACCAAACCTCTCCCATGGGCTACGAGTACGACTTTTCAATACAGCAGAGGCAATCGGAATTCATCTGAACAAGCCACATCTATGTCTTTAAAAGAAATTTGTACAGCTCCTTTCTTTGCCGTGGCCAACTACATAATATGTATCAAGATTTTAAAAAAACGATATTTTCCCTTCCCTTGTAACTATCTTTTGACTTTGTTATTTTTTTACAACTATAGCTAGTTCTATTAACTTGTTTCTACTTAACGTAATTCTTCTGAGTCATCCTATTCTTCTTAGTCATCATCGCTATTTTATAAATTTCTTGGTTATGTAATAACTCTTTTGCTAACGCCTAAAAATTAACTCACCTCGAATTCTGTAATTAATCTTCACGTCTCCTTCAAAACTCAGATATCTTTTACTAATATCTATTAGTTAATTGTTTTGATGACTTTTAGTATTTTAATTTCACCGTCCCTCAATACGTAGAATTGATGGACTAAAATAGCCACTTGATTGGTAAAATTTTGATACAAAAAGAACTATAAATGAGTGTAGAACCAGCCAATGATGAGGAACTAATTGAAAAGGAATATATTTCTTCGCTCAATCTGTTGTTTTTTTTTCTAAATACGTAAATGAGAATTTGGAAGTGTACTTTTATGAAACTGGCACACAGGTTACATCTGAAATATATATACTAATGCCTGGTAATGACAGCTATAAGATGCTCATCGATCAGTGGATCTTGAATATCTGATCGGATCAACTCAGAGTAATTTCTATATGATCCGTTTGTATGCTTTGTATTCATAATTGTATTTATTGAGATTTGATTGATTTAATTTGCCGACGTCATTTATCATGTTGAAGACGAAATACTAAGTTAAAAACTTCAAGTTTTCTAGCTTCTTTCTGTTGAGTGTAATTCATTTAGATGCATATTTTGATGCAAATTCTTTTCAGGATGCAGAAGAATTAGAGAAATCATGGTTACTTTTAGCTGATATTTATATACAGAATGGTCGAATGGAACTTAGTCAAGATTTGTTGAAAAAATGTTTACAGTATAACAAGGTAAGTTTATATTGTCTACTTATTCATACATTCAAAGGCTGATTTCATCAGGAACCGATCGATATCATTTAGAAAAAACACTGAAAATCAAGGAGTATTGGCACTGTTTCCTCCTAATTTGGTACTCTTCAAACGTAAGCGCACATAACTGCAACAAGGTTGGCAGTACATCTGTTCAGATTCTTTTGAACTGCGATTCGTAGTAGTAATGGTATTATCCTGCCATAGTAAATTATTTACCACTAGATGAAGTCTCGCAGACTGGCATCAACTATAGAGCAATGAATTGTCATATACAAATCAGTTACTTGATTGTAAACCACAGAGGTGAATGCTGATTCATCATTAGTTAATGATAAGTATATTAAGTAAATCTTTAAACATCCTGATGACGATTCAGGATTTATTTGGTCTTTCAGAATAGAAATGAAGAATTTCTAGACCTAAATTTAGGGATTATTGTCATTCGTCAGCACAACGTACCTGAAACTACGAGAGAACTGATCCCCCTCCAGAGATTCAATCCTTCAGGAACTTTATGAAGTAGTATTAACCGACTGAAGCAGAAAATATGTACATCGATGTGTTCTTTACTCAGTAAACAAAACTGTTCTGCACTTGATTGCATTTACAATAATGGATAACAAACTGTAAACGGGAGTTAGAATAGCTGACTTATCACTTTAGATTTCATATTTGATGTGTTTTTTAGTTAATTATTTTATATATCATTGCAATCCACATTACTTTTGTGTCGTGAGTGAGAATAAATATGTAAAATGAGATTTATAAGTATTTGTCCTAATTCTTAAATGATAGAAATAGAAAAATTGATCTGATGCTCACTAGCGACTGACCCTATTCAGGAAGTTACCTGGGATTGTAGTGGGAAGCCGTGACATGTAGGGTGCAGCAGGTTGAAGGTGAGGCAGTAACTCATCGAAGAAGACATTGCTAAGTGGTCGCGCTGTGTCATGACTTGGCAGAAGTTAGAATTCATGCACTGGCCATTGGATCTGGTCCCAGTGGTTTATGGGCTTGCCTTGTAACCAGAAGGTCCTGGATTCGAGCCCCGGTGGGTTCGTACTGACGAAGAGTCCCAAACTAGGACGAAACGGCTGCCCAGTTCTCCCAGGTTTTCCAATGGTTCTCTAACTGATGTCGGCTCATGATGAAGTCCTCCAACCAATCAGAATATATATATCCTGTTTTATTGCACTCTTTATCGACTTCGATTGTCATGCAGTCATCCCTCAGTTAAGTAGGCAATTCTCTAATACATTCAAGAGCACCTATTTGACAACCTTTGTACTGATATCCATTTATGGAGTTACTTGCTTATTTTAACTCCTATAGTTAAGAGAGTGGTTTGCCGGAGAATATTCCTCTCCATAGGTCTTCTTTTTAAAGTATTCATATAGCCAGAAACAATCCTTTATTTACACAGATTCCTGCTGCGTCACTCTTTTATGTTTAAAATAGGATGAGTAATTTTATGTAGGCGTTGTACTAGGTGTTGATAGCCTGTTTAGACTTTGTCCAGCGAAATATCCTCTTCCATGGGACAGATATTGTTCGTCTCAATCACTCTTCTGGCTTCCGTTTTATTCAATCAAAGATTTTAGTTTTACTTCTGTATTTTCAGTAGCATTCTAGTCTACGGCTTTTCATGTTGAAACTTTCGTTCTGTATAAAAATCATTGTGCCGGAATAAAGTGATTATTATCATTGTGATTGAACCACCTTTTTTTCTAAGCTTTCATTGTTGAGTGATACTCATTTTTTTGACTATTTTACACCATCCAGCCTTGTAACTTCATTTTTTTAAAATTGTTTTTAGTCAAGTGCTAAAGCATCTGAATATTTGGGTTTAATAATGGAAAAAGAACAAAATTACTACGATGCTGCGAAGTATTATGAACAAGTTTGGAATAATTCAAATCATCAGAATCCTGTTATCGGTAAGATAATATAATGTATTGCTCAAGTGTACAGTTAATTAGGTTACCTTTACAGTTGATAAACATCGTCTATGAATCTCAGTTAACAAAAAGCATTTAAATACTAAATAATCACATAGGATTTCATTTTAGTGTCCAGAAGGTAGACTTTTAGATACTAAATGTAACTGTGTAGATAGAGATGGATAATAGTAGTAGCCCGGATAAACTTCAAATGATTTCACGATATTAGAAATGTCCCATTCTTATATGTCCGCCTGTTAAAATACTGAAAAACCAAGATTTTAGTTTTCTCATTCCTTGAGTTCTAGTTAGGACGTAGTATTTCAAGCTTCAAACTATGAAGTTTCAGTAGCGGTGATTGTGTATTTCCCTATGGGATGGAGTTGCTAACCTCACTTTCAACCTCCCCTTATATTTTGGCTTACTACCGGCTAGAAAACTAGGCTAGAGCTAGCGGCGGTCAAACGAAAACATGGCACCAGTCAATGAAATCCACAACAGTTAGTTTAAGCCACGTAGGAAGATGTAGACTTCCTGACTGGTTGGGGTCTTCGGGACGGTAAAAACCAATGGTTGGAAACAATTGGTGACATGGCTCAAAATCGTTCTCAATGGCTGGCGCAGATGCATCCACTCCTTGTGACTTATGATTTCCAATTAAACTCTTTTGTTCTCCGTTATTACTATTCCTTTGTCTCACACCTCTGCTTACTGACTGTATTATGCATTTCTCCTACTTTCTTCTCTTGCTTTGTGGGCTACATGGAGGGAGTGTGGCGACTTGAACTGCCGCACATATTTGCAAAGTTCTATGTCGAAAACCGACCGACCCAGAAAACTAGGCGGGGCTTGGAAGTGAGTCCGACGGGAAATTTGAATCTGAGCCATGTGTGTTGCTGGTGATCATTTTATCCCTGAGCCCCATCGTACTAAAATTTCATTATTACTATATGTCACTGTACAAGATAACTCAACAAAATTGCTCTGTTTAAACAGTATATGACTTCGATTTCTACTGAAGATATTGCATTATTATCTTAGAGGTTTTAAACTATTCAAACCATAGAGGATTGACTTATAAATAATAATAGTTATAATCTATTCAAATAAAAACTTTTAAATGTACTACATCTTTTAGGAAAAACTTCTGTTGAATGGTTTTAGTTGACTGGTTTCAACAGTTCAGTATCGAACTAAGTGAATTACAGTGACGCTTATGCCAATATCTACAATATATTATCTTTCTTGTCTCATAAACTTCAATTGGCATTGACAAACAGAGAGAAACGAAAGATGTGTTTGCATTGAAGACTGACTGGAACAGAGTGACAGATATTCATATGGTGTTATTAGATAGTTGAAGGCAATCGATAGGAAGCCTTAGACCTAGGTTTCGTGTTTGTCAGCACTTGTCAACAAGGCGTATATGCAATCTTGAAGGAACTTATGTACCCTCTCAGATTCGAACCCGTGTCACCCAAAGCTGCAGTAATAGATGTTACCACTGAGCTATTCAGGCTCGCGACTGACCTCCTTTAGGACTGTTTTAGATGCTTCGACTGGACACTAGCTAGTAATTGGCATCATACGTTCAGTCCCTTGTTTGGTGCAGACTGAATTCTATCAGTCAGTTTTTCTATGTGGCCACCATGCTAGGTGGTTCACCATCACGATGCACTACACTGTGAATTGTTGACATTAGATGGTTGAGGGCAATCGGCGGGGGGAAGCTTTGGACCAATCCCAAACCATCCAGTAAACAGTGCACCGTGGTGGCGAGCCACATAGCATGGTGGTCACATTGAAAAAATTGACTGATAGAATTCCATCTGCACCAAACAAAGGTTTCCACGCATGATACTATTTACTAACTAGTGTCCAATCTAATTATTCATTTAGTTCGTCTGAAGACAGCCTCTATCCGCTTATCTATACTGCATAAAAAGTTGTTTCCAGTATCAGTCTATGTTTGACTGAGATTCAAATGTGATGTGTACGCCTTCTTAATATTAACTTAGAGCTGCATTCCAAAAATATTTTCAGATTACTTACTTTCGCCTGTTACTATTTGATATTTGTCAGGTAAGCTAGAAGGCAATAATATATATTTCTTAGAAAATGTCATTTATTACAAGTAGAAACGTTGATTTTTAAAAAGAAGAAATACAATAGCTTTCTATTATTGAAAATTTTACCTAGGTAAACTTATAATAATAATAATCCTTTAAACATAACTATTATTCCAGATTACAGACATTTAAATCCTTCTTTTTTCCCATATAGTAAAGAAATATGTTATTTAGATCATTTGGAAAGAACCAACTTAAAAGGAAAACTTGTGTGACACTTTAAAGTTAAAGGTCTACAACTAAACATCGGGGAAATAATAAAGCCTAGGATGATTTTGGAATCCAATTTATTTTCTTTTCAAATTAAACAGTTCGAAGTGAAACTTGACTACAGTTTTCGGTGTTTAGAACACTGTGGCATAGTTAGCAAGCACTACCGGTTGATGTGAGTTGTGTGCAACTACTCATATAAACCAATCAGTAGCATACATCGCCAGGCACCGAAATCTTTTTACTGAAAAATTGTATATTGTGATGTTTAGATTTACTTATCATTTGCTTTGTCTTATGGAAAGCATTAAGTGTTAAAATGTTAACAGTTGGCAACCATTCCTGCAAGCCTGTAAATAAATGGGAGTAATTAAATGTCTAAACATTATTTCCTAATTTTATGATTACACAACAACTATCCTCCAGGTCAGTGTATCCCATGCATTCTATAACCTGAAATATTCAGCCAGCTTTCTGGCTTCAGATTTTATTAACTAACCTAAACATCACTGAGAATGTAGGGAGTTGACGGTTCCCATTCACTCACATATGTCTTTTATACTGAGAAACTTATGTACTTTAACATCAGATTCAGCTATGAATGAGATACTTGACACTTTTATGGTGAAAACCTCGCCTAGGTGTTTGATATTATAAAGAATACTTCAGTGACTATATTACCCTTTGGAACAGTGTTTCAAAAAAATAACTCTAATCGCTTTCAGTCTGGATTTAGCGCAATAAGTGTATTAAATTTTACCTGTCACGTTTTATTTCTGATATGACCGATAATACGACCTAGTAGACTGCTAGCTAAACGAAAACAACGCACTAACAAAACTACTGTTTTCATAAATCGCAAAGTTGATGACATCTACAAAACTATTATGGCTGCGCGAAAACAAGAAAGAAGCCGGAAAGCTAGGAAGAGAGCTTTTGGTTACAGGATTTCATCATGAGCTGACATTGGTTAGAGAACCATTGGAAAACCTGGGAGTACTCAACAGCTGTTTCGTCCTAGTTTAGGGCTCATCGGGAGTTCGAACCCAGAACCTTCCGGTTACAAGGCAACCTTGTATACCATTGAGCCACTGGGATCCGATCCAATGGCCCATGAGTTCTAACTTCTGCCAATTCACGATATAGCGCAACCGCTAGCCAATGTCTTCGGCGAGTATTTGTCCTCACACCCGCCCTGCTGCACCCTACTGGTCACGACTTCCCACTGGAATCCCAGGTAAAGAGAGCTTTTATTGTCTCAAACAATGGTTAATGCGATTTACACCCAAAATTGACTATAAATGTTTAGAATGATCTGGAATATTTGGAACAGTCAGCAGCCATTGATGGGTCAGACTTCTTAAAGACTGGTAAATACAAAAGCGCCATGAATGAGCGTTAAATGCGAATTGTAAGCACTTTAGGGTTACAGGTAAAGATCAGGTAAAACTGGGGATATGTAACAATTAATAGAAAAGATTTGTAACAGAGGTGGATGATTTTGACTGTGTTTTCTTGGAAGCTTTCGTTGTCCTTTTAGACAACATTTTCAGCACAGGTTTTAACATAAAGTGAACTTATTGTGTTCTCAAGTATACAGAAAATCAACACATTCACATGTAATAACCAAATACAAAAGCAATAACCCATTGACTCATAAGAGAAACTGTGTGCAAATATTGTTTAAAAGGGTTAAAAGACATTCTAGTATTCCAGTGCTGAAAAGAAGAGATGAGAAGTGTCTACTAACTGTCTTCAAGAAGAATAAGTACCCAGACAATCTCATCAGAAAATGTTTAAACTCAAGTCGTAATATCAACAAGAAACCATCTTCAAAGACCACAAGAAAATTCCTTCTACCATATTTAAAGATATCTCTGAAATAACGGCTAAAACATTAAAACCATTTGAAACAGACAGATCGATACCATTTACAAAATAAATTGCGTAAACTGAGTTAAACATCACATTGGTCAAGAAAGGCATCCCCTTCGAATCAGAATCCAAGCACGTAAATCAGCTGTGAAAAGACGCGGTATGTAACCTATCATATCAATGCATGCAGACAATTAGCCCTTGTATACAAGTGCCGAAAACACAGAAAAACAAGTTTCGAACCTTTTCCTGGAGTCCTCAAATGATCCAACTTCCTTAGCATGCCACTGAAGAGTGTAATACGCTGACACAGAGCAACTTACACGTCCGACTTCATCTTTTAAATGGTTGTCGTATTTCTTTAAAATATAACTGTTTATCGCATATACTCTGTCTCAATCCGTTTTGTGTGTAAAATAAGCTAGTTTCTTTTCTCAAGTTAGGAAGTATTTAAATAGTAGTGCATCCTACACAATATAAATTGACATAATTACTTTTACAGACATATAAAAACTGTATTTTGTCCTCATCACTTATGATGAGAAGAACAGATAAAACGTTTAAAGTACAAGAAGTAAATCTTTTTTTCAAATTCTTTTAAAAACTGCTATTAGTTGTAAATGACATTGGAGTAAAGGAATTCATCCGATTCAGTATTCTGCACCTTCGCTGCACAGTGAAAGTCCTTATGTTCTATACTAGTTTCACTGTTTTATTTGCGGCAAAAACCCAGTTGGATATCTTGAGGAAAAGTAGGAATGGGGCAAAAAAAACTTAGATTTT